AAAATGAAACAAAAGCAAATGCAACATAAAAAAATCCAAAAAAGTTAAAACTAAAAAATGGATTTAGAAAAAGTGACAAAGTTATTTAGAAAAAATCCAAAAAAAAAAAAAAAAAAAAAAATAAGTAAAAACTCTAAATCACTTATGTAATGTTCATACATTGATTCTAGATTTCTATATATTTTTCTGAAATTTTTTAATCCTAGTCTTTATTTTATTTTATTTTCCAAAGTTGTTATTTGATTCGGAGTAACTCGTCCGAGTTTAAAATCGTTATATTGGCAAAATGGTGGTCAGCATTGGGGAATTATAACAGAGAGTAAAAAATAAGGGAAGTTTGAAAGCAACATGCCTGGAAGGGAGACGTTGGGGCCTGACGTCACGTATTGGACGGTGCCATTGAAGGTCCAGGCTGGGATGGGGTTCGACTGAGTGAGGAGGAAGTATGGGTTTGTTGCAGTCGGGCTCACGTTTCGCGGCGGGGACTCAAAGTCGCCATTCTTCAGGAGGAGATCTGCCACACAAGAAGCAAACACTTGAGTTTTATGATTACTGCTTCTGATTTTCTTTGTGTGCATGAATTTACCAGAGGCAAGAACTGTTGTTGCAGCTGCACAGAGCAGGGACACTAGAATTTGTATGCTCATTGCTCTTGCTCTTGCTCTGAGAGAAAGATGGCACTGAACTCAGAGATAGGATTTGGGGGTAGTAAACGGAGAGAGAGGAGACGCGGCCGGCCTCTGTTTTGTGTTCGCATCCCACTTTACTCCATTAACTCTTGGATCCAAGTTTCGTTGCTTTTCCTTGTTGGCCCACAGCTCAGGTCTTCGGTCGAAGCTTCGCAATCTCTCTAAACAGCCTGTACAGGGCCTATATCCTTTTCTGGCCACCCAAAAGTCAAACCAAAGCTTTTTCTTTCCACACTACCCCTAACCAAAATTTTCCCTAATTTTTTTTCAAAACAAATTTTCTATACAAATACCTTCAAAGGAAAAAATATTTTTTTTTCAAACGAAAATACCCTTCTTGTATACAAAAATCAATTTGGTCAGATTTGATATTGACTTTTGGACCCAGTAAGACAACTATCAGACTTCTGTCGGACCGCCCTTTAGTACCAAACTCTTCGAATCAAGTAATATCTACTACCGAATCGTCCTTTGCAACTGCCAGACCACCTTTAGTAACGAATTCTTGGAATAAGTAATATCTACTATCGAATCACGCTTTGCAACTACCAGATTACCTTTTGCAACTGTCAAACCGCATTCAAAGCCCTACTGCTGGACCACCCTTTGCAACGGTCAGACCACACTTTACACAGTGACGGAGCCCTACTGACCACACTGGTGGGAGCCCTACTGACCACACTGGTGGGATAGACGAAAGACAAGCGTGAGTAAGATAAAAGTAAGAGAGGATAGTTTAAGTATTCTTTTATTTTTTATTTGGTTAAAGGGGTATTTGCATAGGAAGGATATTTGGGGAAAAAAGTGAAAGAAAAAATTAGGGTGGGGTAAGTTGCATAGAAAATGTAGTCTTGATGTTTTTTTTTGTAATTTTTGCTTAAAACAAATAAATATAAAGATAAAATCTCTTGGCTCTAAAATCAATTTTCAATACCAACAACAAAACAAATAAATATAAAGATAAAATCTCCTGGCTCTAAAATCAATTTTCAATACCAACAACAAAATTTGAAGTAATTTTTTTTTAAAAAAATAAGGATGGGTTTTCTATAACGCCTTGGCTTTATGAAAACAAAATAAAGCCTCACTTCAAATCCTCATCCAGAAAGTAATTGCAACACAAAAAATCTCTATGATGGTTCTAAAATCAATTTTCAATGCCAACAATAAAATTTGAAATAAAAAAAACGATACAGATCTTGCAGATCTATGAACACTTATTTTTAGGGCGGCATGAACGGTCTAGATAATTTGTTATGATATACACAATTTTTTTTTTACACTTATAATGTTGAAGTCGAAATGATCGATGGAAAGGTTTTCGTGCTTGAATTCAAATTTTGGTTGAGTTATGGAAAGGTTTTCCAAGGCTTGAATTCAAATTTTGGTTGAGTTACGTCGTGATATTTCACTTACTTCGATAGGCTGTAGCTCTATGAAAACATTTTCCAAAAAAAAATAAAATAAAATAATAATTTTGAATGTCGGCACCCAATATTATAACAGCACATGGGAATCGACGGAATCTGATATAAAAAACTACTTAATACTGTACTCCCTCGGTAGTAGAATGTTCATTTACTCCCGTTAGGTAAAGCTCCATCTACAATTAAATTTAGGGACTCAAATTTTGAGGATGATTAAGCTCTACAAAACAAAGTTCACAATTGTACCTCTATGTACATGGAAAAACAAATCGAGATTGAATAAAGACCATCCAATTTTTAGATGATGAGATCTAAGAGTGAGAAAACTCAACTTTTAATTTTTGTTTTTTCTAGAATAATCATCTAGTAATTGTTAAGTGATACCCAAAATTTTAGATTAAAAAACCCATTCCCAAATTGGTCTGACCGAGGGAGTAAGAACTCATTACTCAGATTTAGAATTAAATTCCTACCCATATGGACGCATGTGCATACTAAACAATAAGTATGAGCGCTTGGATACCCCTGTCTCCCTTTTATTTTGTTTTCTTCTTTCTATTTTATGCATATGGATAGATGGATCAAAGTATCATCTTAAATTCTAGGGGCCAATTTCAAGAATGTCAACCATTCGAAATGATTCTTAAATTATCAGTGACTTATATGGGGATATTCTTATATCATTAGAAAGACATAAGGGCTCGTTTGGATTACTGGATTTTTCAATCTTTGCAAAAATCAATCATAGAATTGAGATTGACTGGAATTAACATTTCTTGGAATATGATGTATGTTGTTTGAATCATATCCGGTAGAAATTAAAAAAATGCAAATTCTATATTTGGATTGCTTGGAATATCTTTTTTTTGGAATAGCAAATCCTCTCTCTCTCTCAAAATTTTGAGATAGTTTCTCTCTCTAAAATTTTCCTAATATTTTAATACTCTTTCAAAAACTTAAAATTTGAAATAGTCTCTTTCTAAAATTTTTAAGATAGTTTCTCTTTCTAAAAATTTTATATACTTTCTCTCTTTAAAATTTGATGTAGTTTCTCTCTCTAAAAATTTGAGATTCTTTCTTTAAAACTTAAAATTTGATATAGCTTTTCTTTATAAAATTTTTGAGATAGTTTCTCTCTCTAAATAATTTTAGATAATTTCTCTCTCTAAAATATAATATAGTTTCTCTCTTTAAAATTTTAAGGTACTTTCTCTAGCTAAAACTCAAAATTTGAGATAGTTTTTTTCTAAAATTTTTAAGATAGTTTCTCTCTCTAAGAAATTTGAAGTACTTTCTCACTATAAAATTCGATATAGTTACGCTTTCTAAAATGTTAAGATGCTTTTTCTATCTAATAATTAATTTTTTAGATAGTTTCTCTATCTAAAATTTTCATATACTGTAGTTTCTCCCTCTAAAATTTTAATATACTTTCTCTCTCTAAAACTTAAAATTTGGGATAGTTTCTCTATCTAAATTTTTTTAAATAGTTTCTCTCTCCAAACATTTGAGGTATTTTCTCCATCTAAAATTTGATATAGTTTCTCTTTCTAAAGTTTTAAGATATTTCCTTTCTCTAAAACTTAAAATTTGAGATAGCTTCTCCCTCTAAAAAATTTTAGATAGTTTTCTTGTCTAAAAATTTGATATAGTTTCTAATCTCTAAAATTTTAATATGCTCTTTCTTTAAAAATTAAAATTTGAGATAATTTCTCTCTCTAAATGTTTGAAATATTTCTCTCTAAGAAATTTTAATTTCTCTTTCTAAAATTTTAAGATGCTTTCTCTCCTTAAAACTTATCATTTGAGATAGTTTTTCTCTCTAAAATTTTAATATGGTCTCTCTAAAACTTTAATTTTGAGATAGTTTCATTCTCTAAAAATTTGAAATGGTTTCTCTCTCTAATTTTTTTTTTTTTTATATTTTCTCTCTCTAAAAAATTTCGTACATTTTCTCTATCTAAAATTTGATATAGTTTCTCTCTCTAAAATTTTAATATGTTTTCTCTCTTTAAAATTTGATATAGTTTCCCTCTCTAAGGTTTTGATATTTTTTTGTTCTTCACCACCAAAATGGGTCATTTCCATGAAATATGAATTCCACCTAATTTGATGGAATTGATGTTTCCAAAATTTATACTTAAAATGAGCATTAGGATTCCCAAAGAAGTCTCAATTTACAAAAAAAATGTCAATTCTAAATGAACCAAATACGATTGGCCCAGCTTTCTTAAGAAAAATGACTATTGGAAATCTGAATCCAAGGAGCCAAATAGACCCTCTCAAGGTTAAAAACAATAATGTAACGCCCAAATAACCATAGGAAATAAGGCTGGAAAACGTTCCATGGCTTTTGCTTTCCTTACGTGTTGAGTTTTGAACCTATAAAACGCCTAGGCAACCGATGTAAATTAGGGTTCTCCCCCAATAATCTTTTAGTGGAGTTTGTCTACCAACTCGTTTTACTGATTGTGTGGAAAAACTGTAGAATTAAAGGGGCAACTAAAAAAATCCACAAGAAAAGGTTATTTAATTTTGGAAAAACTTTTAATTAATAATCTCAATATCGAGATGTATGGATGTATCCATCAGAAAAAGTTATTTAATTTTAGAAAAACTTTTAATTAATCATCTCAACATCAAAATGTATGGATGTAAAAAGATTTCAAGTCCCAAAAATAATGCATCTTGTAATATATTATTTGAACCATCCATTTTCAAGAGTTTTATGTATTTAGAGATCTACTTGATTTGAACAATTTTTTGAGTCTAAAACTTCTTAATGAAAATAAATTCTCAGGCCGTCCTAAAAAAATTTTACACCAAAATTGCATCTTATGATAAAATTTTGGAAGTGCTAACGGTTGAAATAAGGGAAAATTACAAAAAACCCGTGAAGAATAGATTTCCTATGCAACTTACCCCCAAATAAAATAAAATAAAGGTACATTTTTTTTGACAATAACACCTTTTTTCATATATAAAAAACTAATTTTAACCAAACATTCACATGGGCCTACGCATAGTACCAAAAGCTACATGGGCTGTTGGACCGCCAAGTACCAATTGCCGGATCCCGTTAAACTAAAAAGAGTGCCAAACTGCCTTCATTATCTGTGGGACCGCATATAAATCTACCGGTCCGCATATATAAATCTATCAGACGGCATAGATAAAAGAGCTGAAGCGCCATATAGATCTGCCATATCGAATGTTTGTCCAAGAACAGAAATGCCAGACCGCTATAGGGATATGCCAAACTGCATTTTGTCCAGGAAACATAGTGTTGGACCACCTTTATATTTGCCGGACCACACTTTGGTCCAGAGAAGTCCAGCTCTTTGTCCAGAGGAGAGAGACGCGGGTAAGAGCCAAGGAAGGATAGTTTAATCTTTCTTTTATTTTATTTTTTTGATTTGGGGGTATTTGCTAAGAAAATATATTTTGAAATTAAAAGTGAGAAGAAAAATTTTGATTGAGGGTAAATGGTATACGTCTACTCTTGAGTGGAGGAACACTTCATGTGAGAAAAGATGGTTGAGGTTGCAAGATGCATGTATCATATGTTGAGTGGAGGAACACTTCATGTGAGAAAAGATGGTTGAGATTGCAAGAAGCATGTGGCAAGATGCATGTATCATCTTGTATAAAACCCCTAAAAGTTCCCCTATTGAGTGCTACAAAGTGATTTTGCAACTTGCCTGATAAACTTCATCCTCACTAATTTTGGGAATAAATTTTAAAGAGAGAGAGATCGTATACCATGTATATTGCACATATGAAGTACAAACCCAGAATCCACCACACATACCCGTCACAGATGGTAGAGATTAGCCACTGCTCTGCTGACAGATGTAACAGAGAACAGCAGCTCATCCCTACTGTATGTCGATGAGATCAGAGTTGAAAAGGCCAGTCTGTGCACCCCATTCATAAATGCAAAAACACAACTCTTTTTCCATTCTATAAAGGAAATATATATAATGAGATCACTTACTTTTGATACAAGGTCACAATCATCATTGACTGCTAAATTTGAAATTGGGTGGTTGAATGTGTCATTGTTTAGGCCCCCAGTTCAAAACAAAATTTCTCAAACATTATGACAATTTAATCTGGTAGATTTTCACATCCAATGGATAAAAGTGATTGTGACTTTGTACTATAGTATACAACCTCTTTATAATACTGAAAAACCCGATCACTCCTAACATATCCATGGCATCAACCAAAATGATAAATGCATGTGTGAAGTTAGAAACTAATATTCAAAAACCTGCACAATAAAATGGACAATGATGCTTGAAAATTGGTGCTGTCATAGCCCTAGCTCACGGCCGGCAATAAAATCAATTAGAGATATTAATCTATTTACAACAAAACTGGAGAGAGAGAAAGAGAGAGAGAGACAGCAGGCTGTACGAAGGCATGTCCTCATTCTGCAGCACATTGCCCAGAGTGAGAGAGAGAGAGAGAGAGAGGGAGATTGCTAAGAGAGAAGGCTGTACGAGGGCATGTCCTCAATTCGCAGCACATCGTCCAAAAGAAATTCGCGCTCTAGCTGAGACCGTGTAGATTTTAGCACATCCTGAGGGGCCAAACCAAAAACCGCAGCATCAGTACCAAAAAGAATATTTCCCAAAAGCCATATGTAATATAGCAATTGCTGGGGGATGGAATGTACATTGAAATCCATGTAGGAGGCATTCCTGGCAAGCCATTGTTCATCCATAACCATGAAAGCCACACAGTAAAGCAAGTCAAAGGCCCACTCATATTCTGAAAATTGTGAAACCCCACTTAAAATGAATCTCTGGATTGGATAGAAGATTGCCCATACGGGTTTATTGCACTCTCTCTAAATGCATGTTTGCATGCATGTGTGAAGAGCAAGCAATTGAGACAGAGAGTGAAGAGCGAGCGAGCGAGAGCGAGAGTGAGAGCGAGAGAGAGAGAGAGAGAGAGAGAGAGAATTATTTCACCAAGTACACATCCTACAGAACTAATTTAGCAACATGGTTGTACGTAGACTTGTTGGCTAGACACTGATGGCTTACCTGAGAGCATCTGCATGAAGATTGTCCCAATCAATGTGCTGGGTTTCGCTATAAGAAAGCAAGAGCAATGATCAACTTTAGATTGGTTCCAAGAAGGAATATTAATCAGATGAAATGTTGTCATTTGATAACTGAGTTTCATCATATATTCAGTAAACAATGAAATGATAATTCTATGTTCTCTGCTAAAAAAATGGACATTCCATGAGTTAAAATCATATTACTGACCCTTCAGGAGATAAGAATAAGAAAACAAGTGACAGAAAAGCAAGTGAATTATTGCTGGTTTTAGAAATCATTCAAATGTACATGTAATACTCACAAATGACATCTTTTCTTTTCTCTTTTTTTTTTTCCCATTTTTTTGGGGGGAGGAATCCATCCATCCCATCCCCATCTCATCTGCAGATGGTAAAGAGCTGTCTTCACATGCAGCCATGTAAAATAGCCAGCCGGCAATATTAAGTTGCTGCAATGCTCTCACTCTCTCTCTCTCCAAAAAAAAAAAAAATGCAGTGGAAATACCAGCACTGCTCTGCCATGCACATGCCTTTCTCTTTCATTCTTAGGGCAGGCCACCACAAACAAATAGAATCGATAGATATAATGATAGATGGATCGACAGACAGAGAGATAGATAGAGGGATGGGGGGAGGGAGGGGGACATTCCGAAAAACAAAGAAAAACGTGGCATCGTATTATATCAAGCAGACACAATAAATCTCTTCCTTAAACTACTATCATACTGGCAATCTTTTCAAGACCTGCATTATTTTGTAGAAGTGTTTAAAATCAATGGAGTCTTAGTATTTTTCTTTGTAATTCATCTATTTCTAAGGATAAATTAGGAATGAAATACGGATTTTGATACTATAAGCAATGGTGAAGTAAATCCCAAAGCAGAAAAAAAGACTGGCAATGACCCTTACGGGAATGTAGATCTAACATCTGCATGATCATGAAGGTAATGTTTACACCAGCTACAGCAAATGGGTACTCCCAAGTGGCTCTTTTCCCTCTCTGCTTCTTCAGTAGTCGCTGGAACGAAGTCTGCCATACTAGATTCATTTAGAACCTTAAGTCACAATTGTTGAAAAGTTACTAATGTTGAATTAATATCTTGGATTGCAAATTCAAGGATGACACAGAAATGGAGAACAGAAAAGTATAGTTCCACAAAATATTCCTTGTAACATGATTGCTTCACATATTTTGTTAACCAAGGGACAACCAGAAATGTCCTGTATGCTTCTCAAAAAGATCTTTGCATCTGCAGCGTACAAGGTCAGCATGTGAAAGAGAAATTCCAGGCAACAAACAAGAAGATAAAAAGAAAAAGAAAAAAAAAACACATCCAAAGGAATCGTAGCATACATTTAGAAGAGCATTCAAACGAATTCTTAACAAGCATGGATATGAGAATTGGGATAACCAATTCCCTCATGCAGGAGAACTTTGAGCCATAGAAGTCAATTGGACATATATGGAGTGATTATCCATTGTCATCTCGTACCACAAAATTCTCCTTGCCTTTCTCAACAAAAGGCAATGGACATCACTCTCATAGAAAAATCAGTCAAGAGCAAACTCAAGAATACCTAACCAGCCAGAGAAATGAGATGACAATTCTGTTATCGTGTATTCAATTTGGATTGTGAGATACCCATATTAGGTGGCCCAGGCTAAAGATCAGTCAAGAGCAAACTCAAGAATACCTAACTAGCCAAAGAAATGAGATGACAATTCTGTTATCGTGTATTGAATTAGGATTGTGAGATACCCACATTTGGTGGCCCAGGCTATGGTAATAGATGCTACAGTTAAGAATATCTAACACTTTGAGCAATCAAAGTAATATACCACAATATAGTAACTGGTAAAGAAGATCGAGCACATCATGATGATTCACCTTATATTCGATATCAATTTTTTCTATTCTATTACTGTTGTTAGAGAGGATTCAAATGTAGAACACACTTAATGAAAGACTTGAAGATTCAACAAGAATCTTCAATAGTTGAACATCCACTTCCTTGATTAATTTATAATATTCCAGTCCTAATGAGAAATTCTTCACAATTAAATCAGTTTACAATCACCAGAGCATGAGATAAATCTCAAAATGTGCAGGCAATACGAGAACAAAATCAGTAACCGCTAACAATGGAATAATGAAAAATATGTAGGAACCCCAAGGTTGGCAAAAGCATTTCCTCCTTTAGATGCAAACGCTTCTACCATGTTAATCTTTTAGGATATACTGTTTTGAGGGAAATTTATTTACTACTCGCTAAACATATTCCTATGAACATGCATACATACATATATTTTGGTCATTTTATTTTATTGGAATTATTATTTTTAACAAGTTGACACCCAATAAGAACTACACATGCCCCAAATTTCAGGTCAATATGATTACTAAAATAAAAAGTAAAATTCAAATATAAAATACACTTTAAGCCGTCTGATCAAAGATCGGATATCTCAGAGGCTAACCAAAGTTAGTATTCAGCATTAGCCATTCGGTGCAAACTCACCATAGTTTTTCCTACCCACATATACACATATGAGCATAAAACAATGACTAAATACTACCACCACACTATAAAGATTATCATGCCCACAACAAAATTCATTGTTCTTTTAACAAGTATTTCTAACATGTTTTTTCATGCTCCCCAAATAAAATTTGTACAGTTGCTCCATCCAACTTCTACTACAGGCAAATGATGTCCTTTACATGATCTAACAATCAAAATCACCTTTGCAAACTACAAAAGTGCTGTGCATATGACAGTATGACTGTATTCCATTAGCATTTTGTTGAGAAGAATCTGGTTTGTACTATTCCTCGGTACTTGGTCACATCTCACATAAAAAACGTAGGCAAACTATACAACCACTCCTTTCTCTGCATCCTTAAAATATCTTTAATCTAGAATAGCATACACTGTCTTTTTCTAATTAGAAATCATCCAAAGCAGAAGGTTAACAAGTATACGGGCACACAAATATCTAATCCCCGGATACAACAGTTCTGATCAAAGTAAGCCTGCATCTTGATGTACCAGTGTACGAAGCAGAAAGAGCATCAGATCCACAGTAGTTATTTGCTTGCTCATTGGATGTCCAACTGTCCACCGATAGTGTGTCACTTGTTTTAGCATCAACTGTGTGTTACCAGTTTTTGCATTATGCTGTATTTAAATTGCCCCTCTTTCTCCCTCCATTCTTTTTTCTCTTCTTCGTCTTTTTCCCTCTAGTTTGTTCTCTGAGCACCTAACTTGTAGGCTGCCGTCTTTTTTTGTTCTAATTATGTAATTTTCTAATATTTCAATACAAGTACTTAAAAAAAACAGTTCTGATCAAAGAATAGAAAGCTACAACTAGCCTGGGCGACATTACTGATAGTTATTTCTATTCCTAAATGTACATGAGTTTTATTCTTAACTCTGTAGACGACAAACCCAACTAAATGAAAATCTACAAAACAAGAATATCCTCATAAACAGATAGGTAAATTGCAAAGCAGTGAGTAGTTAACTTTCCCTAGTTTCTTTACAATACAGTAGGACAAAAGAAGAACAGCCCACAAGTAGCAGGAGATGTATCTTACGGAAAATGTTTTTGCAAAGAAGAGTAAGTTCTCCAAAGAAATAAAGCCAGCTCCCCTGGTAATCAGAATAAAAAAAAATGTCTACGTTAATCAGAAGCAGATAAAGAACCACTAATGTAGTTACTAAGAAAGAGGACCTACTAATTTTTGGAACTTTAAAGGAGAGTATTAGAACCTAAAGTCAGTTGATGGATCTCTTCCTTGCCATCCCATTTCCTTCCATTGTTCAGATATTAGACCTTGAAGCTTTGTTTCAGGGTAAGTAGCATTCCACAGAGCCCTCAAAGCTTCCTGTTAGCACAAAATATCGTGATAATCATATAAAAAGACAGCAAGAAATATTCTAGTGCAAACCATGCTCACACAGCTAATGAGAACATTAATGGGGAGTACGCTTTTTTTGTCATTTAGATAGCAATGCATTTAGAAATGACAACATAATTTCTTTGAAGTCTTACCTCAATTAGTTTAATCATGCATTCCTAGCATATTTATGTGTAATGCTCCGAAATAACTAATGAAGTACAGTTCTAATTAAAGACTACAATAAAACAAAATAATATAAATACAAAATAGCAAGTATTCATAAAATTATACAGATTTATATCTAAGTTGACAGATACAGAGGAGTATGACTTTTTTTGTCTAAGTTTTCTTACTCTGAACCATCACAGTTGATAACTTGATAGTTGATATGCATGTCCTTTTCATTTTTTCCGAGAAGTTGTGCATGTAACATTTTGAAAAGTTTGAAAGACCTACATGTCCCAAAAAAAAAAGAAAAAAAGAAAAGAAAGGAAAATGCCCCATGTTTATGCTATGTCAAACACTATTGATAATAGTTGAATGGCAAATGAATCTACTTGTGCAAGATATTGCACAGCACAAGTTGAAGTAAATGTGTTAATTTATCATTAACCACTAGGTGAGTCATGATTGGACCTCTACCGACCTAGAGTTTGCTACCAAGTGGTTGAAAACCTCGCCAAAATAGTTTCCAGCAAGAAATATTTTTCTAATCTTTCCTTCTGCCTTCTTGTTATTTATTTCTACATTTAAGTCCTCAAAACCTCCTTTTGCTGCTTGAAACCTCACCACACATGCCTTATTTAAAATGTTTTTCTTTTCTTTCATTTCTTATTCTACCTTATGTTTTGAGGCAGGTTACTGGTGGGATTTGAACCTTGGACGTTGTGCCACAACCCCTCCTTCATGCCCCCACCTCAAATCCCCAATTCCTTCTATTTTTCTGCTGCATTCTTTTTCTTATCTACTTTTTGTTTGTCGTATTTTTTTAACCCTTTCTTTTTTCTTTGCATCTATTAGTTATGGTTTTGTTTCCTTCATGGTAGGGGACCACCCAAGACCACCACCAAGAACTGTGTCAAGACTAGCACATAGGTGGGCCCCCCATCGAACCACTTGAGTTTTAGAAACCCTAGGCCAAGGAATTTAGCAATCTTCTTTAACGATTAAACCTTCTTGGAAAATTGTGGTAGTCATAAATTTTGCAAATTTAGTATTGGTAAGTGTGTCCCTTTTCTTTTTTGTTTTACAAGCTAGTTTATCTTCCTAGTTACAAAGGGACTAGTTTCCTAAAATTACAAAGGAAATCTTCCAGTACCTTATTCTGGGGAAGAGGAAGATTTAAGATATATTTAACTTACCCTTTTTTTCCAAGGAATGACAAATATAGAGGTATAACATGCGCCAACTACTATGCAAGGCCAACTCCTGCAAAAATGTAAGTCCCTCATCTCAGCTCTAAACAAGTCAACTTGATGCAATTAGCATTTTTACTTTTATGAAGTTTTTTAGAAGATTGAAATTAGGTTTGGAGTTATTTGGGTTTCTAGTTTTCTTTTAGGGCATTTGTGTTTTCTTTTCTTGTACAGAGGTGAGGGATAAAATTAGATGTTTAATTTTAAAAGATGAAGGGTTAGGATTTAGTTTTTATTAAAGCAAATTTGCTTATTATGATTTTTATTTATCCTATAAATATGTAAATATTGGGCAAAAAATGAGAACAATAATTTATTTTGGGTCTTGTGAAAATAACTTTTTTGGGGTAGACTCCCTTCAAACCCAGAGAGGGCATAATATCTCATCCCTTTATTTTTATTTTATTTTTTTAGTTTGTTTATTTTCTATCTCCCTCTTCCTTGTATCACAAGTCCATAGTTTAATTAAAACTAATAAGCTTAATTCAATCCAAGCAATCTAGCAAACCTCCATTCAACCTTCTATCCATCCTATTATAATTATCAGACCTACTTTAACCCCGATACATAACTATTTCACCCTATTTGCTGGACCTGGAAACCCCAGGACTAATTCCTTGGCCTGAACCCCTAACTTCCTGTTCCTAGTATCACCTTCTGATGCCCACATTAACCACTGGTAATTTTCCCTTACCATATTCATATTATCTGATATGGACCGGTCTTTCCATGACGATCAGATCGCTCCAACCTCTGAAATCCATCACTAGTTTGAATCTCTCTACCACCTAACCAAACTCCAATTGGAACATAGCCCCATCTTTCAAAAATCCTCCCTGCAATGTCCTAAGCCTTGTTGTACTGTGAATTTCGGGTAGGTTTCCCCATCTTTTACAGACCTGATCTTAACCCAAACGGCTCCCCAACCCTATCAAAACCTTGCCTACAAGCCTACCATATTCCCAAGAACATTCGACCTCATGAACCCCCAATTTGAGTCAACAAATTGTAACCAGTTCCAAAAACCTGCCAATCCCTATATAACTGTCCAGGCCTTTGAAAACCACCCTCTATTTCATTACACTCATGTACAATCCTAATAACGTTGGTGTTACAACACATTTCTGTCTTTCATTTTCATCTTTTTCCTTTTGGCTTGTAATTTCTGCCGTTATTTTATCTTCATTTTATAATTATCTATGTATGTAACTATACGTGCATGCAACTTTTTTTTCTTTAGTTATCAAAGAGATTGATATTTTGTTTTCTTTTAAGCAACTTTTCACATTGTTTTAAGAAAATTTCAAAATGCTATGTTGCGGTCAAGTTAGAAACCCTATAACGTAAGAGAACTTCCTATTACAGTACCAAGTACTAGGAATCATAACAAGGAAAAGAGAAATATAAATAATGATGCCTTTTGCAGAAGAGAGCATGAGGATATGAAGGTAGGGATGATAAACGTCTAAAGAAACTACGAAAATTATAATGAAAATTTCAGCATAAGTGAAAAAAACTTGGAATGATGAACCCAAGTTAAGGCTTCAGAATAATGAGACATGAACCATGAAGGTAAGGAGCCAAAACCCTAGAAACGGCTCTAAGTGTAAAGCAAGAAACCCATAAATAAGACTACAAATACCATATCCATGGCCCATCAAGGCAGAGCAATAAATATACAAGTATGGATGATGGAAGTTCAATAAGAAACCCCTAACTCGATTGAAACCAATTTTTACAGTAACAGATATCACTGGAAGACGATTGAAGGATCAAGGGAGACGTGGAAAGCTGGACGGGGGGGCTTCACATCTGTCATAAGTCCTTTGGTGGTGCAAATATGCAAAACAGGATCCCAAATTTTCAACGATGAGGACCACGGAACTAAACATACTTTGTTTGTCAATATTGGTTTAGTCCTACATAAAAACCTCAATATACTCGGGATGTATTTCATCATGAGATGTTTTATATTCCGGACTCATGAGAAATTTTGGCAAAGTTTTACGTTGGCTGCCTACCTAACACAACCCACCCCATTCACCCGGGCTTGGGACGGGTTAAGGGAAAGTTTAAGGTCTTCACCCTTCTTAGTTCTTCGACCATTCGTAAACCTGAAATTCTTTTCCTATCCCAACCACACACACTTTCTAAGCATTTCTGGCATTAAAAATCAACACTTGGGATGGTACCAAAAAGATATGTCACACATCCTAGCAAAGTAAAGCTCAACCTTTCTATAGCTTAGATAGTACACTCCAATATTTACGGAACAATATGGTATCAGACATCCCTAACAAAAAGTTCTAGCAAGTGCCACAATTAGTAGCAACAAAATAACTTTGTTGGTTTGTCCAGAATGTCCTAGACCACAAATTCATATGAAAAAATAGCTTGTATTTCTGAAACTAATGGGATTCGAGTCTTTGGGAAGTTTGCATAAAACATAGTCAAGTGTAACCATTTACCATTGTGTGACATAACAAAGCAGCTAGAACACTTAACTTTCAGCCATTACTCTTTAAGTTCAATGTCAATCAATTACCCAATCAGCTGTTATGTCTCTAGTTTCAATTTATAGCTAACTTACTATAAAATGGGAAAGCGCATATGCCTGTGAACTAATTTCTACCACCGCAAGGCCAATCATACTCACGAGAGAAACAGCAGAACTTGACCAAGCAGTGATCCATTACATATTTGTAGAAGACCAGAATCCTTACGATTAATAAATGGTAGTAAAAAAGTTAAGACAGTGAGAGTTTAAGTATGCATGGTAGTCCCTTGCCTTCTCCTTAAGCTGTATAAGGTGAGATTTGTACATTTACAGACTCTACTTGTGCACAGGATGAAAAGCCTCATCCGAAGAAATGAACTAATTGCATATCAAACATGTAGACAAGTAGATATTGCATTGAGGGCAAGTTTCACCTGGTGATCAGGCCTTGAAGAATCAAAGTCAACCTTCATGCGATTTTTCAAGCGCCGCAATCTTTCTTCCTGCAACAAGCAACGAATAAAAAACATCAGTGATGCATATCAAAGATAAGACAGTTAGTGATGGCAATATAAAGTATTGTAGAAAATGGGAACCAACAAATGTTCTATTTTCTTCACTACTGTTTTATTAAGGCTTGCCTGTATTGGAGTCAAAGTGGCACAAATTCGCTCATAAGTTCCCTTGCGTTGAATGCACACACAAGAAAGACCCCTCCCAAGCCATGCTGGTGTTCCACTAGTTATAGCTACAAAAAACAAGTATCCAGGATGATTAGATCATGGATCATTAAAATTTGTAGAACAAGAGAAGTCTCTGAAAAGTATGAACTTGACTTGTGCAAAGGCAATGCAAGTTCAAAATTTTCCACACGAGCAGCATTAGGGGACAAAAACACCACAATCTCTGCTATCATAGCATGTTACTGTCCCAGCAACCCAAAAGATAACTAACAATAAGTGGTGTTGTAAAGTTTGGCTGCCTCAGGGCCTAGTTCATCAAGGACCCTAGGAGCATCACCTAGGGCCATGGGGCCTAGTGTGGAAGGGTCTCTAGGAAAATGCCTAGTTGGGGCCCTTGGCCTGCCTTGCCCACTTCTTCTTCTTCTTCTTTGTGCTCATTTAACACTTTAGAGTCCTTCTCATGCTCTCATCATCGAACACTTATAGAGGGCTCGCTCACTTGGAGTTCTTCATGCACTCTCCTCATCGAACAATTCGACGGCTCTCTCTCTCTCTCTCTCTCTCCATCCGAACTCCTCCCCCTCTAGCACAATGTTGCCTTTGGGGTGCCACAATCATGAGGATGTGACCGGGCCTAGGTGGTCACGAAGCGTCCTAGGCAGTGGCTTCCAAATTCCTAAACATTGACAATATGATCATAACAAAATCTGGTCATATTGACTCGGTGCAATGGATAAATAGCCAGTCATTGTCATAGGTTAAAATGTTTTATGTTAACTTGGTATTAGCAAGCTTGAAACATAAGCTAGATTGAAATGTTTCTCTACTTGGTCCACATAGAAGACCAGGATAGACATTCTAATCATTACTTGTGATTTATATTTGTACTAAGCTGATAATAGTATATATCATTCTTGAATTCTTTTCATGACCCCAGATTCTCATGTAATAAGCAAAACAGTTGTGCGATTTGATGTGATTGCACATGTTCCATATGAATGGATATTATGTAAACAATGAAAAGCAACCATTTGCTCTCAATCTTGAGGGATTTTGTTCATCTTCATCCTTCTCTCATTCCTTTTAAGATTTCTTCAACTAGAACATTATCAAGAGAAATACAAGGAACCCTTTTCTTATTGGTAACACTGTAAAAGAAGGGAGGGGGAAGGATGGAAACCTATCATTCTCATTCAGCACCAAGTGACACAAGGGACCCTTTGCCATTGCTCTGACCCTCTCCTTCATAAGATCAGCATAAACCATATGGGACAAACAATGTACGGCCATTGGGAATATGGCTGTGCGGCCCTCTCATCCCAAAGTTCTTTTGCTACAAAGCGATACAGCAATTGCTTCCTTTTTGTCAACTGTCACCACCCTTCCCTCCGCCTCTATACTGCCTTCCACGTGTTCAAAAACTCAAACTTGGTGGCAAGTTGCTCACTGCCAAAACTATCAAGACTCGCCAAGTTAAACAGTCAACTAAACAAAGCTCAGGTAAGTTTTTCAAATTTTTTGGGAACAGCTTTAAAATAAATAAATAATCCATAACGGGATTTGGACTTAGCTTGCCATTAAGCCAAACCCAATTTCTAACACATCAAAAAATGCCATTTATATTTCAAAGTAAGAAAAATGGTGGACTAGGATTTGTGTAGCCTTACCCCAAATAGTTGGGATAAGGCTCTGATGGTGATGATGATGATTTTAAAATAATACAGATCATCAAAAACCCCGGCACACTTTATTTTTTAAAATTATCAAACTTCCCCACCGGATGAATCGAGCTGTTTCAGAGAATTTCTCCAACTAGGAAATGAGTATTTATAATTAATTCACTACTTTCCAGTACAGCACCACCTTAGTATGTGGTTGTATCCTGCCATTCACCTGCAGAGTAATTGATCTACCTCAACTAGTGCCATGATTTGACGGCTTTTTTCCTCTCTGTCAAGAACGACCTCTGGATTGTCAAAACAAAGATCCATCACCACAATCGTGATTTGTGACAATTGTTCATCATGGTTTATGACAGGCTGTATGGTTTATGACAGGCTGTGGGGTGGCTCCCAACCCTAGTGAATTTCTAATGGCAAAGCAGCTTATGACGATCTGCTATGACATTGCTGCATTTGCTAAGGGCAGACAGAATAATTACCTTACGTCGCATTTGGATGAGCCCCTGGATTGCAGTATTTTAAGTAGATTAGCAACTGAGAAAACAGGCTCAGATTTTCCCAGTGGTTGTGGTGTGTTTGGTGGGCCCCAAAGCATGAATGCACAAGCATGAAACACCTATTTTCATGGCCACTTGGAAATCCAAAAGAACTTATTCAAACTGACTTTCCTGTCTTCCCCCCCTCCAGGAATATTGTAAAACCTCTAATGAGCACGTCTAATGGGGCCCCAAATTCAAGAACGTGTGTTGCATTGATAGAGATGCCAAACAGAGCCAAGGCATGGTGGAGGTTATATTTAGCATCCTTGCATTTGTTCCATATGCCCTTATACGATCCTTGGTCCGGGCAAAATCCAACATAGCCAAAGCAACTGAAACTTTCAATTTTGAACGGAGAAGAAAAACTTATACAACAACAGAATCTTGTGGCAAAGTCAAAACAATGTGGGACCAAAGAAAAGGGGCTCTCTTTTAGATTTGAGATTTCACAAGTTAATGCTGGAAGAAGCATAATACTACAAGCATTTGATATTCAAGCTCCTTGAACCTTAAAATTTATCAGAGAAAGAAAAGCTAGACTACATCTCAAATTAATCCAGCAAAATAGTTCAAACTTCAAAGCCCAAACCATAAACTGAAAACCAGGGAAATCAATTAAGACATTCATAATGCCTAAAAAAAGTCATTAAAAGAATGAAATAAAGAAAGCAAGAAATCCTACGCACTAGAATAGGCTTATCCAAATTGACAACAAAACCACGGAACTCAAAGAATTCTTGAAAGAATATGATGATTCATGGCAGAAGACAGTATATAGCAAAAAAAAAAAAAGAACTGGAAAACCATTAAATAAATGGAATAAAAGAACCGAAGAACTGCAAAACAATACTAAAAAATAGAAAGGGAAATCAAAGAACACATAAAAGGTCAAACAGATAGAGGGATTCAGAGAGCAAAAGTTTAGCGAGAGTAGACTAGCAAACTTAGAAAGAAGAATACCAAACGAATCGTACATGGAGAACATCAAAAAAGCCCAAGAACACATAATAAGTAGCGAAAAAACAGCAGATTTCAGTAAATTGATCTCAAACATAAGAGTGAGAGTGAGAGTGAGAGAGAGAGATAGAGAGATCCATAAGACTGATTTCAGTAAACTGATTCGCGTATAAGAAAAAATGAAAAAAAGGGACAGAGAAAGAAAGAGAGTACCTGAGGACCCTGAACCATGTCCGCACCTAGAGAGAGAAGAATGAGAGAGAATCCTTATTGCTACACATGAACCCTGCCTTTCGACGCTCATTTCAGAGAGAGAGAGAGAGAAAGAGAGACAGAGGAGCAGTTGCAGTACCCACGTACTCCGTTCGCGCGAATTTGTAACGGGCGGTCTCAAGCTCACTTTAAATAGGAGAGAGAATGACGCGAAAGGTCTCTGCATACTCTCTTAATGACAATATGATCCCATATTTAGTGTAAGTTTGTAACGCTCCAAGGTGCACGACGCCCGGATCTTCACGGGTAGGGATGGCAACGGGTCGGGTCCAGCTGAACCGGGACCCAAGTCCAACTTTTGGATCATATCTCGGATCCATTGCCACCACTTTATTTTTTATTTTTTTTATTTTTATTTTTTTTTTGGGAATAGTTTATATAGAGCCTAGCCTCTAAACAATCAAATTAGAGCCTACATCAAAATTTTCACTAGAATAAGTTGTTTTGATGCTCAAATATCATCAAATTGATCAGATCGACATCAAGTTGCATCAACAAGAGAAAAAAATGGATTTCAAATTTTGAAAAATAGTACATATTATAACTCATATTTGGACAGTCAATTTTCAAGATTATCAAGTTTTTATAGATCTGCTTGATCTTCAGTATTTTTTTAAGCTTAGAATTTTATAACTAAAGATGAAAATATATTTTAAGGCTATCACAAAACTTTCCAGTTTTGAAACCATATTTATCAATATTATTTGAATGTGAGCTCTAATTGGATTGTTTAGAGCCTCGGCTCTATACAAACCGTACCCTTCTTCTTCTTTTTTGTCTTTTTTTTTTACTATCATATACCCAATGTTTATGAGGTTTTTTTTTTTTTTGCCAATAATATTGTAAATGTTGACAGTATTATGATAATATGAACACCTAGTGTGCGCTTAAAGACACATGATTGGGTTGGGTCCGACTGGACCCGAAGCAAGACTCAACTAGTATTGGGGTCTAAAATTTGGACCCATACCTAGACAGAGGTCGGGTATACCCGTTGGGTCCCGGGTCTATTGCCACCCCTATTCACAGGTAGCTTGGTAGGTGAATATAGCGTGAGACGTGATACATGAATCAGGTTTGCTAATATGATACATAGAAATCTCTACCGTCTGTTGTCAAAAGGAACGGTTCTGATGTGAGCGGTTCCTCCCAACACACTTCAAGAAATATGTCATTTTCCATGAGTAATATAGCCAAATTCCCAAAAGAAGTGGTAGGTTTTCTAACAGCATAAGGTACTAATATGCGGTGGTTTAAAATGGTCATCTGATTCACTAGATCGGGATGGATAAGTGGGCAATACTAGTATGAGAAGCCCAATCACCACGATATTTTATAGTTTTCTATTATCTTAGAGTTTGTTTGTTTTCAATATACAAGAATCACACGATCCGGATTGTAATCGATGATTTGTAGGGACACTGTCCGGTAATCATTTTCAAATCATTGAATTTTGCGAGTTAGGCATATTGATTTTTTTTATATTTTTGTCCTTAATTTCATGGAGAAGAGATGCCTCTACTCATTTTTTTTCATATAAATTAGGGAGTTAGCATTTTTTAAAGTGCCAATAATAATTAGGTATGGGGATGCTACTATAAGGGTAGCAATGGTTCAGGTAGAGGTCGGGTCCGGCTGGACCAGGATTGGGACCCGAACCCAAACCCGAATAAGTTAAAATTCGAGTCTAGATTTTGAACTTTGATCCGGCCTTTCGAATCCAAATTTAAACCCATACTCGTATCCAAAGTCGAGTCTACCCGTCAGGTCCCAGGTCCAATGGGGTCCATAGCCATCCCTAGCTACCACCTAGGCCCTTACCTTATTTGATATTTGATAAATTGGTATAAAGACAAAAGGTGGCAGGAGGAGCAGTACATGGGCGGGAATGTGTATTACGCGCCCAAATGGCAACAAAATTGGTGTCTTCTCCGCTCTTCCTTTTTAAGGCCATTCAATGAATTAGGGTTAAGGACGTTAGTGTCGTGCCGGTTGCTTATTAAAGAGAACATAACGCAATCTTTTCCGCTTCCTCTAAAAAATTACTACAATCAAGCCAAAAGATTTCTACTCCCGCGTAAGTTTTGCTATTTATTTACTCCCTCAGGCAAGGCAATATCTTTTAAATCTCAATTAACTTTCTATTTACTAAAAAAAAACCTAATGCTGCGAGATTAAATAGAGATGTCCAATTTTTATAGGGCTACATCTAAGTGTCACAAAACTCAAAATTTACTTTTTTTTAAAGCATAATCATCTAATGACTTTTATATAGTTCCCAAAATTTTTAGAGTAAAAAAATAACCTAGCTAGGTGTTTTGACGGAGCGAGTAGATTTACAATATTCTTTGACTACTATGCTCCCCCTTTTTTTTTTTTTTTTTTTTTTTCTATTTTTGGTAATTCAATTGGAAAGACAGCGCTCTACCCATTTTTCTCAAATAGATTAGGAGTTAGTTTTTTTGAAAGGGTGATATTAATGGTGGGAGTGAAAACCACGACGTGCTGATTAATATGTGGGGTGCTACAAAAAAACAAAAGAGACTATAACGTGTATCATATGAGCTTGCCATAAAGAAAAAGAAAGATCACTGATTTGCCTTCCACACTTTTTTCAAGTCAACTTCCACAAGATATGATAGCAAACGGTCGTGCTCATGCATTTCAGGGATTTAGTTTGTGGGCCATCGGTTGGATGCTGATGAGATTTTCACTTATTTGCATTCATAAACAAGTTTACCCCACCTCCTCTCTCTCTTTTTGATGTGATGGTTTATCAGAGGGTTTTAAAAAGTTGGTGATTTGGACTTGGCTAATTCGGGCTGATCCTATAAAACATAGAGAATTGCCTGGCTTTCTTATATAGTGGTTGGTTATGATTGGACGCTTCTATCAGAGAACCAATACAAATTGGCTCCATATTTTTAAATTTTTTTTAATATATTTTTTCGATTGTTGAACCACCCAGTTTTGGTCAGTTCCGGTTGGTTTTGGCTCGCTTTTTGAAAAGACTAGTTGGTTCTATCAAAGAACGGGCCCTACTTAATTTGAATTTTTTATTTTTATTTTTTGGATCACAAATCTGGATCGTTGATTCCCTGAGCTGAACCGAAAATCCATAGGGGCAATCCAACTCACTTCATTTTTTCAAAACCTTGGTTTAGAGAGGCTTGATGACCTCAATTATGATGTTCATGTTGGAGCATTCAGGTAGACTCAAGCCAGTTAATACCGACCAGTGGCAAGAGGTTGAAGTTGATGTTTCATTTTATGTGTGGCACTAAGCCAAGATTGACTGATTTTTTTTTTTCCATGAGTCAATGGGAGAGGCCTCTACCCTCTAAAGAAATTGGGCCTAGGACGTAGTGTTGCAATTCGTCAAGCGCATGCTATATGCCATATCAAGATGTACACAAGTACATAGCAAAGTAGTATATTTTCTCTCGGCATATTTTTCATTTTTCAAAGATGTGAAACATTTCTTAACAGCACATGCTAAATCCCTTATCTCATTGATCCATATTTAGTCCATGGGAACTTAAAACCAAGAATAGTTTATTTTATCTCGTTGAAAATGTTCTCTAACTTGCTAGAGTTTCTTATTTGGATACAAAAATCTATTCTTTTTTTATTATTATTCTAGAAAGACTTTCTTGGGAATGTCAGGAAAAAAACCGGAAGTTGAAAACCTCTAAACTAGTGTTCAAAACCACTGGAGTACTTGGCCCGTGCTTGATCCCACTATTCGGCCCGAGTAGGTCGAGTATTTTAGCAGCAAAAAAAGTTAAAAAAATGATAGAAAATGCAAAATAAACAGGAATATATTTAAAGTAAGATTACGAAAAACACATCAAAAAGAAGTTAAAAAAGTAGTAAAAAAATATATTTTAGAAAAGGGAAAAGTTTATATAAACAATCAAATTTGAGCCTACCTAAAAAATTTCATTAGAAGAGGTTGTTTTCATGCCCAAATATCCTCCAATTGATCATCTTGACATCAAGATGCATAGACATAAAAAAAAATTGATTTCAAGTTTTGGACATAGGGTATTTTGTAATGCATTTTTAAACCGTCAATTTTCAAGTTTTCATAGATCTATCAATCTACACTGTTTTTGAAGCTTTAAACTTTATAAATAAAGGTGAAAATATATTTTAAGGGTATCACAAAGATTTCCAGTATTGAAACCACATTTTTTGACACTATTTGAAGGTAGGCTCTAATTTGATTGTTTAGAGCCTAACCTCTATAGAAACCGCACCCTTTAGAAAATCAACTTGTGACTGGGGGTATTTTTTAAATAATCCAAAAAGATGGCAAACATAAAAATAAGTATTTATAGTCAAATCACATTCCAATATTTGCCAAAATACTAGAAAACATATAAAAAATATCACAAATAAATTACTTATTTTTTGCGATTTTTTATAATTTTTTAATGTTTTTTTAATGGTTGTGGTTTTTATAAGGTTGCAACCTTAAACAATCCAATTAAGGCGCACCTCCAAATTTTATCATAACATGTAATTTTGATGTAAAAATTTTGTAGGACTATATTAAAATCTATTTTCATATCTAATTATAAAATTTTAAACTCCCAAAATGGTTAAAATCAAGTAGATATATAAACATATGAAAATTTTGAAAATGGACAGTCTAGATAATGTGTTGCAAGATGTGCTATTCTAGGACTCAAAATCTTCTTTTTTTTTTCATATTCATACATCTTGATGTCAAGATGATCAATTAGAGGGTTTTTCAACATTAAAAAAACATTTTCTGATGCATTTTTGAGGTGCATCTTTAATTCTACATTTTAAGGTTGCAACGTTATATAAACTTTATCCTTTTTTAATATCCCCAAATGGCACACCCAACTTGGAGAAACTTGAACTCGCCACATACTCGGCCTAAGTACCCGGGACTCGGACCAAGCGGTCAAAAACTGCTCCAAACAAATTACCTCGTTCGAGAAATCATGGTAAACTGGTTCAGTCACTATCAATTCATAAGGAATTTTCTCTGTAAAAAGTTTCTCCAAAATTCCAAGGTGAAATTCACCAAAAACTTGAGCAAAGCAACAATACCAAAGACAAATAATGATGCAGATGCAT